CATCCTCGACCTCCTCCTCGTCCTCCTCCTCCTCGCTCGCGCTCCCCCTCGCCCCCGACGCTGCCCCCGAGGAGGGGGCGCGGGCGGGCGCCTGGAGCCGCCCGGGCCGTCGTGCGGCCACACGCGCACCACGCCGCGGTCGCCAGCCGCGGCGAGGCACCTGGCGCTCCCCCCCGCGCGCGCCTCGGCGGCGGCACCCGGCCCGCCCCGCCGCGGCGGCGAGGGGCGGCGGCGGCGGCGGCGGCCCCCGAGGTCGCTCTGTGCGCGCTCCTCGGAGGTTCCTGTCGCCACGGCGGGGCGCGGCTCGGAGGACTGGGCGGGTCCCCAGGAGCAAGGGAAACTGATATGCGAAACTGATATGCTGATGCGTATGTGTATGTACATACGCATACATACATACATATTTATATACATGTATATATATGTGCATGTGTATATATATATACACACGATCGGTATTATTAGATGCTGGTACATTTAAGCGCACACATGCATATAATTAGGTATCGATGCACCTACATGCGCACGTGCATACACATGTATATATATATAGAGAGAGAGAGAGACAAGCCTGTGTGTACATGTATGCATATGTATGCGCATCGATATACATGGATATAGATGGTGTAGATATAAATATGTGTGTATGCAGGTGTGCGGCGTTGCCCCGTATACGTGTACATCGACCTGTGCAGATGTGTTTACATGTACGTACTAGAACCATCGCGCGCGCTGCGCGCGCGCTCCAGTTCCACCTGGGCTGGATGGTCGAACTGTTGGGGGGCGACATTGTATGATAATTCTTCTCCGGGGCTCCCAAGAGCCACGAAGACGGCCCAAGTGGCTTCCAAGATGTCCTACGGTCCATCTAAAGCGGCTTAAGACAGGCCCAATAAACATTTCGGGGTCCTTCTATTCGCCGCGGCTGGACGCAGCCGGAGGAAGAGCGAGGAAAATCGGAGGCGAAGGGGTTCCCAGGGGGAGATGGAAGAGAAGGAGGAGGAGGAGGAGGAGGAGGGGGAGGAGGAGGAGGAGGAGGAGGAGGAGGAGGAGGAAGAAGAGTTGGAGAAGATCGAGGAGGAGGAGGAGGAGGAGGAGGAGGAACAGGAGGAAGAGGAGGAGGAAGAGGAAGAGTAAACGTGATGTTTCTAATCAGACTGCCAGGCGAACTTGCAAAAAAAAGAAATGATGACATTCCCTCTCTTTGTTGTTCAGGTGCTCTCGGGGCCTCTTTTGAGGGTTTTGAGTCTCTTTGGGACTTTTTGGGGGCCTCTTGAGGCCTCCTGGGGGTCCCCTGGAGAGAAGGTCTCGGGTTCTCGGCTCACGTTCCCGATCCTGGGCCGCTTTGGGGGCATACTCGGGCAGTTTTGAGCGTCCGTTCTGTCGTTTTTGAGCCGCCTTGGGGCCGTCTTAGGGCGCTTTTGGAGCTCATTGCCCGTCTTGGGGCGATCCTCGGGGCCCCTGGGGGCCTCTCCTCTTCTTCCTCCTCCTCCTCCTCCTCCTCCTCCTCCTCGTGCGGAACACGACCTTGAGGAAACGCGCGACGTGCGTCAGGGCGGCTACGCGCCAGACGACGACCCAGAGGAAGCACGCGCCAGAGGACGACCCGGAGAAAGCACGTGAGGTGCGGGCCCCATACGGAGGGGCGCCAGCCTGAGACTTCCTCGCAATTCACTCACAGACGAGGCTCCCGCCAGATATTTCCTTCATGTTCAGGCCTCGGGAGCACAACAGTGACGACAGTTACAGCAGGCCGATGACCCGCCTCGGATGCGAACATAAAGTGCGGGCCCCAAAGGAGGGGGCTCCCGCCTGAGACTTCCTCGCAATTCATTCACAGACGATGCTCCCGCCTGATACTTCCTCCATATTAAGGCCTCAGGAGCCCCAAAGTGACGACAGTTACAGTAGGCCGATAGCCCGCCTCGGATTAAAAAGATGAACTGCGGGCCCCAGAAGGAGGGGACTCCTGCTTGAGACTTCCTCGCAATTCACAAACAGACGAGGTTCCCGCCTGATACTTCCCCGCCTCAGGGGTCCAAAAGTGACGACAATTGCAGGAGGCCGATGACCCGCTCAGATTACTCACATGAGCTGCGGGGGCTCCCGCCTCATACTTCCTTCATAGTCAGGCCTCAGGAGCCCAAAAGTGACGCCAATTGCAGGAGGCCGATGACCCGCCCGGATTGCGCATGCGAGCTGCGGGCCCCATAGAGAGGGGGCTCCCGCCTGAGACGTCCTCGCAATTCACTCACAAACGAAGCTTCCGCTTGGGTGGGTAGGTGGGTGGGTAAGTGGGCGAGTGAGTGAGTGATGATGATGAGTGCGTAAATGAGTGAATGTGCGAGTGATGACGACGATGGTGATGATAGTGTGCGTGAGTGGGTGAATCGGTGAGTGTGAGTGATGATGGTTCGTGTTTGTGATTGAGCGAGTGTGCGAAGGGAAAGGAGAGATAGAGAGAGAGAGAGAGAGTGGGGGAGAAGGAGATATCCTGAGCGGAGGGTGCGCAGAGAAAACAAGGACCCTACTTTGGATGTGGGGAACAAGAGACCCAGTTTGGATGTGGGGAAAAAACAAAATAACAGAAACTATAGAAACATAGTCGAAACATCGCCCCGACAATTGTTTGCTAAGTTTGAATACTCCTCCTGGAGAGGGACATGCCCGACTTAACCTTGGGGGCTGGCCCCAAGCCCTCGCCAGCGAGGATCGCGCCGCATCGCCAACGCATCGCTGATGAATCGGCGATGCATCGGCGACGTCGGCGATGCACAGGCGACGTCGGCGTGGGGAAACACGGGCTCAACATCGAGCCGCATCGTCGATGCATCGGCGATGAAGCGCGATCCTCCGACCCCATCTACTCGGACCCCATCTAGGAGGCCTGGATCAATTTTGGAGTCCCGAAACGGTGCGTTGACAGACCGTGCGGTGACCTCGAAATCCCGCAAGACCTCACCGCACGGTCCGTCACCGAACGGTCTTGGGACCTCGGAGGCCCCAGTCGCCCGAGGCATCCTCGGAGAACGAATCGAGTCCCAAAACCGTGCGGTGTCCCCGAATCCCCACCGACTCACAGCACGGTGTGGTCACAAGGGCTCCCAGCTTCGCGCTTCGCGCTCCGCGAAGCGCGAGGCGCGAACAACCTCGCGCTCCCGCGCCGCTCCCCAAAGGGAGAGAAAAGGAGGACGAGGAGGAGGGGGCGAGGGAACGAGGACCGCGAAGCGCGAAGAACTTCGCGCCCTCGTGGGAGCCCTTGGGGTCATCACCCCGTTTGGGGGCCCCCGACCAGTGGGGGCAGGCCCCGAGCCCCCGCCGGAGAGGCGGGGACCTGGCCACCACCGCCCCACCCGGGGCATCCAGCTTCGGGGGCCTGGGCGGGCGGTGGCTATGGGTAGGCCTGGCCGCCCATGGGCCCGAGGATCACTTCGGATGAGCACGGCCTCCTCCTCGTCGCTCCCGCTCCTCCTCCTCCTCGCTTCTCGTCACTCCTCCTCCTCCTCCTCCTCCTCCTCCTCCTTCTCCTCCTCCTCGGCCCTTTCGGCCAAAAGGGCCCTAAGGTGGCCTTTGAGGTCCACAGGGGCCCCAAAGGAGCCCTCTAGGGCTCTTTTCTTCACCCCCCATTCGGGTCACCCCTCATTACTACCCCACCCAAACAACATCGGACGGGGATGAATCGGGGACCTCTCAGATCCGGCGGCTCTGGAGGATGTGTTGGGCGCCTCGGCCCTTCAGAGCGTTCCAGAACGCTCTGACAGCGTTCCTGGAAGCTCTAGAACGGATTTATCTGAAGGGGCCCAGGGACACACACCTAAATTCACACAAATCAGAATATTCCCATAGTTTCCCATATTTTCTGGGTTCTCGTCTTCCCCCCATTTCCCATATTTTCCTATATGTTTTCTGGGGAATCGACGATTAATTGTGTCCGTGCGCTTTTCTCCCTCCTGGTTATCCTCGTCCCAGTCCCGTCCGAGAATACCAATATCCACCGCCCGCCGACGCTCCCGAGGCTCCATCTCCCAGGGGGTGCTTGTGGACAAATCCCCTGGGGCGGCCAAGAGGGGGGTGTGCAAGAGTGGGCTCCTCCTCCAGCTCCTCCTCCTCCTCCTTCTCCTCCTCCTCCTCCTCCTCCTGCTCCCCCTCCTCCTCCTCCTCCTCCTCCTCCTCCTCCTCCTCCTCCTCCTCCTCCTCCTCCTGCCTCCTCCTCCTCCTCCTCCGCCAAGAGGGGGTGTGCAAGAGTGGGGCTCCTCCTCCAGCTCCTCCTCCTGCTCCTCCTCCTCCTCCTCCTCCTCCTCCTCCCTCCTCCTCCTCCTTCCTCCTCCTCCTCCTCCCCCTCCCCTCCCCCTCTCCCCTCCCCCTCCCCCTCCTCCTCCTCCTCCTCCTCCTCCTCCTCCTCCCCTCCTCCTCCTCCTCCTCCTCCTCCTCCTCCTCCTCCTCCTCTCCTCCTCCTCCTCCTCCTCCTCCTCCTCCTCCCCCTCCTAGCCCCTTCGATCAGGGTCGGCGGCACCTGCCGTCAGGCCTCTCCAACCCCCTGGGGCGGCCAAGAGGGGGGTGTCCAAGAGGGGGGGGTGCAAATCATGGCCGGCGGAATGTGCGCGGCCCAGCCGGGGGGGGCAGGGACGTAATGAAATAAGAAGAGGCGCCATAAAATTTGGGGAAATATCATGGCCCCCGCCATGATAACCCCCCCTAGTCATCACCCCCCTCTTTTCGACTACACGCAAGAGAGACCCTAGGTAAGAGTGACCTTTGGTACGTGGTTTTGGGGGCACCGCGGGGGGGGACACACCCAAGTGCGCAAGACGCTACTATCGCTTCGCTTTGGGCGATCGGAGGACCCCTTTGAGCCCGCACCAAAGGTCACTCCGGCGAAAGGTCACTCTTACGTCTAGTCGAACTTTGCCGCCCCCGAAAGTCCCCACCTCGGATCGCTCGGTCCAGGACGGCCGGGCACCTGCCGCTGGGGGACCACGCCAGCGCCGGGCAGGCGAACGCCGCGCCGGGCAGGCACCACTCGCGCGCCCAGCCCTGGCGCGGAAGACGAGGAGGCGGGCGAGGAGGAGGAGGAGGAGGAGGAGGAGGAGGAGGAGGAGGGGGAGGAGGAAAAGCGAGGAGGAGGAGCGAGGAGGAGGAGCGAAGTGGAGGAGGAGGAGGAGGAGGAGGAGGTGCGACGAGGAGGAGGACCTGTTTAAACCCAAAAATTATCAACAATGTTGGGATTCACCTTCCCTCCAAGTTTCCTCCTCGCGGGCCCCTGCAACGGTTTTTTTGAGGGAACTGTTACGTTGGAAAAAACTTCTGAAAACCCTGAATTAGCGGGCGAAGAGCGGTAGCATATAAATGTTTACGTCACCAGGGGCGCTGCCCCATCAGGGCGGCAAGGAAAAGTATGCCTTGACGTGCCGCCGTAAGGGTGTAAACCTTCCAGCCGCCCTGGGACAGGCGCACCCGACCGCGAAACAATGTATGTTACACTGTTGTTTGCCCGTCACTTGAAGCATACCAATTTGTGCTCAGGATTTCCAAGCCACGGATCAACCTGACTGCTGCGTCCTGACGAACTGGAATCGTGCCAAAGCGCCGTTTGGGAGACTTCAACACCGCGAATCAACAGAATTGCTGCACCCGCATAATCCTGAATCCCCCCATGGGAATGGTTATGGTAACTGCTGCACCGCGTAGTCCGAAAGCTATTACATAACTGCTGCACCGCATAATCATGGTACGTTGATCATGGGAAACAGCGAAACTCTTGCAAATGTTGAAAGGGAATCCTGCAATATCTGGCGCTCTGACCGACTCCAATGTGCAATGGGCCCTTTATCACTTCCCCCCCAGGCGCGCCGCCGAATCTACATTAAAATAAGCCCCTTGATTCCAGGAGGGGCGTCTGGCGGGGGCGTCGGAGACAGCTGATTGTTTCCCAAACAAGAGGGCGTTGGACACTGCCAGCTCAGTCTGAAATTCAAAATGCGCGTCGCGAAACGTCGTGCACACGCAGGTCAGGCCACAATATTCGAACTGAATTGCACTCCCACAGCAAGACCCACAACAGGGATGTGGACGGGCGGCGGCGGGGGCAGGGCGGCAAACATAACGAAAAGAACGAAAGTGGCACATCAAAGCCGCCCCGGGCGGACAGAGCCACAGAAAAGGCCTTTCAAGTTACAGTGGGCCCATTCACAATGCTGGCGGCGGGCTGGCCGCAACCGGTTGAGAGCTTGCTGAATCTTGCCTGGCTTAGCATAGCGACGAACCGTATCAAGACACTTTACTCTGACACGCGACTGAATCTCACTCCAGGTGCGGCGCCTCTTCAGGAGATCATCCGAGGCGCCGCCGTGGCGCAACTGGCACGAGGACGCCTCGACGCGCAGCTTGACGGCGGCAGCCTTGAAGAGGCGGGCGACCCTCGCGGCCTCCAGCGGGAAGAGCTCACGGTCGTCCGCCGCGCGCGCAGTCCAGGAACCCAGCACCTCGCCCAGCCACTCGGGGTGGTCGAAGATGACGGCGTCGTCAAAGGTCTGGTTTTTTGACGGCTGCAGCCGTTCCCCAGGCGCCACCATCAGAGACCAACGCCGCAACGCAGCTTCCTCCGACACCCCTGGCTTCACCAGATCGCCCACCTTCGCACGAAGGAGCTCCCCCAGGACGGAAGGACCCCGAAAACACGGCCTCGATGTAGAGGGCCGTGGACCGCTCACCGTCGTAAATCAGAAAGGCGCAGATGCCCGACTTCACCTCGATCGGCAGCGGCATCCTGCTGGTAGGAGGGAGTCGCTTTCGGTATCCCTTGAGAGGCTCTCAAGGGATAGCCCCGTACCTTTCCAGGAAGCGTGCTGTACAGCAAGCCGCGTGAGCTTCACATTGTCGGCTAGGAGCTCGTCGAGGTAGTCCAGCAGGTTCACCTCGATATCGTCGTGGCTGTCGGCGGCCCTGCCTCGGCGCCGCCGCCACTCGAGGAACAGTTTCTCGAAGTGCTGGTGGGCGGCCGAGACCTTGGTGCCGACCGTCGCGAGCTCGCAGGCGCTGAGCCCCCCGTCCTGCGCCCGCCGCCCAAGACTCGGGGGCAGCGGCCGCGCGGCAGGAGAGGGGGCCGCGGCGGGCTTCCGCCTGGTGGCGCCCTGCCGTCGGACGGGGACGCTGGTGGGGCGGCCCGCGCGCTTTCCCTCCTGACGGGTTCCAGCGGTTCCGAAGGAAGTCGATGGCTCGGCGGCTGTTTGACAGGCCGCCAAGCTCAGCTCCCGCCGCAGGCGCTTCATACAGCGCCACCCGCGCCCCCCTGAGCTTCTCGAAGAGGCGGGGCGGCTCGTCGGCGGGGTTGTATTCGCTCGGGATCCAGCGGAGCGCCACCCATGCACCCGTCGCAATCGAGAGGGCGGCCAGGCGGCGGACCAACTGCAGGAGCCCGAAGGACGCCGTGCGCTCTCTTGAGAAACAAAGGGCTACGCCGAAGTTGTCGACAAGGACGAGGCGCCTTTTGCGGCGCTGGCTGGGGTCCCGAAGTTTGAGACTCATACCCTTGATGACGGCCCTACCTTCTTTGTTTCCGATCGGGTCCTCAAACCTGCACCTCCCAGCCCTCCAGCACTTCCAGGAACGCCCCAGGATCATGGCCTTCGGAACCTCGGGGAAGCCAGCACGGGGCCGCCAGGCGAACTCCGAGGGGGGCCCGCCGAGCTCGTCGAGGTCCCATGGGGCCCACGTCGGACGTCACAGGGTCGACGAGGGGGTCGAGCTCGGCCGCCAGTGCACGACGACGAGGCGCCCACTCCGACGGGGGCAGACGCTCGCACCCCCAGCGCTCGTTCCACCCCCAGATCTCCCCCACCTCCACACTGTCGAAGCCAGCCCCCATCACGCCACACCCACTCCCCGAGGCATCTGTCGCCAGCACGGAAGTAGACCATGGACGCCCAAAGCTACCTGAGAGCAGGGGTGCCAGGTTGGAGCAGACCAGGAGCTCACGGCAGACGGAGTCTCACGGGGGGCTCGGGGCCCTGCAGCAGTCCCGAATGAAGACGTAGGAGGCCCGCAGGACCGACAGCGCGGGCCGCTGGTTGAGGCCCTCGGCGACGTAGTGGCCCAGGAGGCGCTCCAGAACCTTGCCAGAGATGGCCCCACCTCGAGCGGCATGCCGAAGAGCTCCCCGAAGAGTCCAGGCCCGCTTGGGCCTCGCACGGACCGTCCGTCGCAGCCCATCGAAGGCGGCACCCAGGATATCCGATGATGTTGAGGCCCAGGAGATCTCGCGAAGCACGAAGCCCTTCCCCTCGAGCGCCCCGATGAGCTCACGAAGTCGCTGATCGACACGGCCCCTGGACATCCCGAAGACAGTTAAGTTGTCGCAGTAGGGGAGGGCAACTGGATCGTCGGACAACGGCGAGGGGCAGGCCACGCATTCGACGCGATCAAGTCCTGGCCGAACCCAGCCTCACGGAGCAACTCGGCATGCAGAGCCTCCACAATGTAGAAAGACCAGGTCGAACCCATCGGCAGCACGAGCAAACGCGGGAAGACCTCCCCGATCTCTGGCGGAGAGAGCCCCCACACGTCCGAGCCCCCCCCCCCCCCCCCCCCCACCACCACCACCACCACCACGCCCCCCCCCCCCCACCCCCCCACACCACCACCACCACCCACCCACCTCCCCACCACCCCACACACGCACACTTTTTTTTGCGAGGCTAGCGTCGATGGCTTCGAAGCTGAAGTACTCACTCAGCGCGGACGGCACCCCACACTGGTAAAACCAATTCGTTATATCACCCGTGGCGACGAAGACAGGCGACGCTCCGTCTGGCACCTCGAGCCCATGCATGTTCTCGGCCGAACTCATCTCAGGCTTGGGGGGGGGGTGACGGAACAGCTGGCTTGACCCTGCGGCAGTCCAGGGCGAGCCTCTGGCGGCCCTGTTTCTTTTTCACGAGGAACGGTTTGAGCATGCCCTTCGAGGTCCTGCAGAACCCCTATATCCCACAATATTACAGGCCCCTGCGGAACTGGAGTCGAACGTCTTCATCACCCCTGATTCCGACATCCGTATAGCACCCGACGGGCTCGTGGCGACGACGGTATTCGGCCACGCCAGCATCGGCCAAGACGTTGTCAAGGCCGAGGCTGCGGCCGAGCTCGGGGGGGACAAACCCAGTCAAAACGACGGGCAATACCTGCCCCTCTGGCAAGGACACCTTCGTCGGGTCGCAAGGCTCGACCGCGCATGCAAGCATCTCGTAAACCGCATTCACACCAGCCAACTCACGAAAAGAGGCGCGGTCCGTTTGCACATGATCGGGCATGCCCGAAGCGATGGTGGAGAACATATGCTGGTGAATTGCACTATGCAATGGACTGCGGCCGCCCACGGCCTCAGTCCCCTCACACTGCGTCGGGGCCGACAGCTCCTGCGGGTCGCACCCGAAGCAGGTTCAGGCCGTCGACCGCCTCCTGCGCCGCCGACTGGACGGCGCCCCAGCGCTCGAGGTGCAGCCGAGCCTTCCTCTCCGCACCCGTACCAGGACGCTGGGCCCGAGGAGCGCCCGGAAGACCACGGCCGCACCTATCCCCCGCTGCTTCTTGCCGTCGGCGAGGCCAGGCCCCAGGACGACGCGCGCCATCATTGCGGTCGGAGGAGACCCCCTCAGACCTCAAGCCAGCCATCATGTCAGAGACGGGGACGGCTACTGGCGTCACCGCCCCCGCCCCCTTCGAATTTCTTGGCGGGGGCCGAGGGGTCTGCCTCGGCCTTCGCTACCGCGACGCCTGCAGCCCTGGCCCCCCGCGCCTTCCGCTTCTCCTTCAGAATCGCTGCCTCTTTGCTGAGCTCGGTCGCGACATGGGCCCGAGGAGAAGGCACCATCTGGGCCCCTCCCGAGCGCTCACTGATCCCCAGGCAGTGGCCCGAGCCCCCGTAGCTCGGCGCCTCGGGGTTCTCGGCCACGGCCCCCTCATGCAAGGTGATCCGCCTCAGGAGGAGCTCGACGCCGATGAGGTTCTTCACGTTGAGCCCGTCCACCGTCGCCAGGAGCTGCACGACCCCGCGGGGGATCGCGTGCTCGTGGGAGGTCGAGCTGCGAGTCCTGACCCCGCTCTCGCGCCGCCACTTGCCGGCCCGATCGATCAGACTGGTCGCCCCCTCCCTGACCACCGAGTCGACCCACTCGGCCCCGATGGGGCCCTCCGCCTGCCGCGCGCAGGCCGTCATCGAACGCATGGCGTCGACCAAGGGCCGCTCCGTCGGGGCCCGCGCCAGGATCCTCGGGTCGTCGCAGAGGAAGTTGCTGCGCGCCAGGGCCCAGTGAGCGATGTCAGCGCCCTCCACCAGCTGCTCAAGCGCGGCGACGCCCCCATCGATCACCATGAGGGCACGGGCCCCCAGCACCGCCGCCCCTGCAGGCAGCGTGAACTCCTCGCCGGCATCGTGGCCCACGAGCGGCTCCGCGAGGACCCACGCCCCACCCGCTGGGACGAGGCGGGGGGGGCCCAGGAGCAGGGGCCACGGCGGGCACGGGCGTCGCCACCGCGGCGGCCCCCCCAGGCGCTCGAGCCGCCCCGCCCAACAGCGGGGGCCCACGGTGGGCCCGCTCCAGGTTGCACACCTGGTCCGCCTCCGCCAGCAGCTCGTTGACTTCGGCGGGCGTGAGCGCCGCGAAGGTGTAGAACACGTTGCCAGGGACGGGGGTCCCTCGTGGCCGCACGTCGACCGACGCCGAGAAGCGGATCCCCTCCAGGTCGCCGCTGTTGAGGCTCAACTGCTCCACGTAAACGTCGAAGTCGGACGGCACGACCGCGCACTCGTCGTTCTCGACGAGGGAGCCGACGAGCCTCGCGTGGTGCTCGCCCGCGCCGTAGTGCACCCACGCGGCCGACCCGCGGCCCAGCACGGCAGAGGCAGCTGCCCCCGCCATGCTCCTCAGTGGTCGTCGCCAGGGGCGAAGATCACCACTCCCCTGCCTCCTTTCTTGCCGCCCTTGGCCGCGGCCGCGCGGGCGCGCGGGCCGTCCGCCTCGGCGTCCTCGAGCGCGAGCCCGCTGGCACGCTGCCGCGGCCAGAGCCGCCCCAGCGCGGCCTGGGCTCGACCGAGCCCGAGCCTGGCGAGCTCCCACGCCAGGAGCGTGACGAGGCCGAACGAGACCTCGACGCCCCAGTGGAAGTCGGCCTTGGCCGCCTCGGGGCAGGGCGGGCAAGGGTCGGGGCACACGACCTGAGGCGCGGGTGCCAGGCACCCCATCCAGCTCCGCGCACAGCTCCTGGGCCAGCGCGGGTGTGGGCGGCGCCGCGGCCGCAGGACAGCCCCGCGCTGGCGGGGCGGGCGCTCTCCCCTCCACGGGCGGCGCCGAAGGCGGGGCACGCGGCGCCCGAGCGGCCGCCCACAGCTGCCCGACCCAGGCCGAGCCGACGTGGAAGGCCAAGAGCACCACGCACTGGCCCGCCGCGCGCATCCAACGCCCTGGAGGCCGCGGTGGTCGGTGGCTCAGGCAAAATGACTTAAGCCAGAAAGGACTACAGAGCAGAAGCACACCCTCACGACGCTCAACCCTCAGAGGAATCAACCACCAGCAAGCAGTTATAGGACCCTTCCCGGGGTCCATCCGACGCAATTTTTCTCCCCAGATGGAAACCGGGCCCGAAAACGGCCTCCAGAGGCCGAAAACCACGAAAAACAGACTCGAACCTGGAAATTCGAACCTCGGTTTGCGACTCCGAAAGGTGTGGTTTGCCAAGGGTGTGGCTTGCAACTGGCACGCTGGGAGGCACCCTGGGGCCCGGGGGGCGCGGGACCTCGATAGGGTTCTCCGCTGCGCCCCGAGGAGGCCCGCCGAGGACAGTGTCGTGCCCTCCAGGCCCCAACGGCGCCGATCGCAAACCCCACCCCGGCGTATCCACACCCCTTGCAGTCGCCGAGCCTGGCGGGGCCAGAGCTCCACGGTGCCATCCTTGCGTGCCGAGAGTTCGGCGGTGGACAAACCTCCCTTTAGTAAACCTCCCTTTAGTGAAAACGGCCTGGAGCCGAAACCGACGGACCTGGACCCGCAAAAATGACGGTCGCGACGCCCTCCCGCGAACCGAAAACGGCCGATTCACTAATCGACGTGTCAGGGTAGGAGGTCTGTCCACCCTCGAAGAGTGCGCAGGCCGTCGCTCGTCGAGCCCCCTAGGAAGGGGCGCCCCAACGAGCGAGAGAGGGACATCGTGCCCTGCGACGGGAAGCCTCTGAGAGTATATGATCTACTCACGCCTGTGAAACTTAACTATGCAGTGTGCGGCCTGTGTTCCCTGAGGCCGACGGATGATATAAGACTGGCAGGGGGGCGTGGGCGACTACCAGTCGATGATCCCCTGGAGGCCGAAAAAGATGAAGCAGCGTCCTCGAACCTCAAAGGTCCCCCCCAAGACCGCGCCGCCGGGCCGGACGAGCGGCAGCGTGTGGAGACAGCAGGCGATCACAACAGCATCGAGGCCACACCCCGGGGGACGTCTTGCGCCTGCCAGCCATCGTCAGAATACCGAAACCATCGCCCAGTGCTGGTCGTGGTCGATGCGGGCGCCCCGGGACGCCAGACCGACCACGACCACAACCGAAAAAGGTCCATGCCGAGGTGGCGGGCTCTCTCCCCCGAGAGGCCCTCCTAGAAAATCAGCGTTTTTGTGGCTGTGTCTCTTCAAGGGCAACTGCAAGGCAGTTTTGAATACATGGGATTTAAAAAATATATAAGAGTCGTCTCAATACAATGCTCAATTTATGAAACAATATGCATGAACTCATCGTTGCTTTTAATACTAAACCCTGCATCTGTAATACATGATCCGCACGCGGAGCATGTATTAAAAACGGCACTGTGTTGTCGCGCTTCGCGATCCGCGAGGCGCTGGGCGCGGAAATCTCTGCGCGCTCTCGCGCCGCCCACGCCCGGAGCAGGAGCAGGGATCCGCGCCTCGCCCTGGAATTGCCCAGACCGCGAGACGCGACTCGCTTCTGAGCAGGGACCGACCGTGCTGGCAGTCCTATAGGCGTAGCACGAAATCTTCTCAGAGCCCCAGAGTGTTCTCAAGAACGAAAGCCATGTTCTCAGGGCATCGGCCCGCTGTGCTAAAACAAGACAGCCAGAAGTGTTCCAAAGACAGTTCGTGCAGACCTCAAAAGGTCCTTAGAGCATTATTTGTTGGGCCTGTGGGCAAACCAGGACGCTTCGCCACTGCTGGGTACTTCGCACCCTCGTGGTGGTCCAAGTCCCTGGATTAGGGGAACGATACATGACATAAACAACAACAAAAACTCTGAGGTCCGCGCGAATTTCTCGGATCGGCGCTGGACCCCCCTCCCTGGCGCGCGGAGCGCGCCAGGGGCGGCGCCAGGGGCGCCGCCAGGGGGCCCCAGCGCCGATCCGAGAAGTCCGCGCGGACCTCCGAGTTTTTTTCATGTTGACATCACTGCTCGTTCCCCCAAGCTTGGCCTCCTGGGGGGGAGGAGTTTTCTCTTTGGCCTGACAAAGACCAGCCGCACGCGTACTGGCCAGAGGTTTGAAAAACGCCCAGGCCAACGATGGAGACGCGATTCGACCCACAGCCTCGCTGCGCGAGCGGGATCGTCGTCGTCCGAGTCGCTGGCATCGGGGAAACCGACTCGGAGGAGGAGGCCCCAATCCCTGGATGTGCCCACACAGCGCGGACCTCGGAGTTTTTATGTTGACATCACTGCTCGTTCCCCCAAGCTTGGCCTCCTGGGGGGGAGGAGGAGGAGGAGGAGGAGGAGGAGGAGGAGGAGGAGGAGGAGGAGGAGGAGGAGGAGGAGGAGGAGGAGAGGAGGAGAGGCGCCTCGAGGAGGAGGCTCGGAGGAGGTCCCAATCCCTGGATGTGCCCGGACAGCGGCGGGCGCCACGGGGCACGGCGGCGGGCGCACTCGGCGCCGGCACCCGGCGGCGGCGGCGGGGGCGCGGCGGCGGGCCCTCGGGGAGCAGCGCCACACGGTCACGCCGCACGAGAGGCCGAGGGCCAGGGCCCTGCCACCGCAGCGGCGCCGGAGGGGAGAGCGGGGAGGCCTCCGCCCTGCTCCGCCCTCCTCGCCCTCCTCCGTCCTCCTCCGTCCTCCTCCTCCCCTCCTCCTCCTCCTCCTCCTCCTCCTCCTCCTCCTCCTCCCTCCTCCTCCCTCCTCCTCCTCCTCCTCCTACCTCCTCCTCCTCCTCCTCCTCCTCCTGCTCCTCCTCCTCTTGTTCCACCTCTTACCTGTCTTCTTATTAGTGTTGGCAGGCGCATTCTTAGTATTGCGCTTCCTCTTGTAGTCGCATCATGGATAAAATCGTTATGTGTATATCATTGGCTCCACTGTTGGTAATAGTCGTAAGAGTCTTGTTAATTTCCTTATTATTGTCATTCGCAGTAGGATGAGCATGATTCGCATGACTCCTATTACTAGTATAAATCGAATCCTTAGCATTGGTATAGTACTATTGTTCGTATGTGTCTTGCTATGTTTGTTATTCGTACTATACGTAATATTATTATCGTTCGTCTGAATACTATGCTTCGTGAAATTATTGATTATCATCCTCCTCCCCTCCTCCCCCGCCTCAGCCTCCGCCTCCGCCTCCGCCTCCGCCTCCACCTCCGCCTCCGCCTCCGCCTCCGCCTCCCCCTCCTCCTCCGCCGCCTCCGCCTCCTCCTCCTCCTCCCCTTCCTCCTCCGCCTCTTCCTCCTCCGCCTCCGCCTCAGCCTCCTCCTCCTCGTCATCCGCCTCCTCCTCCTCCTCGTCCCCCTCCTCCACCTCCTCCTCCTCCTCCTCCTCCTCCCTCCTCCTCCTCCTCCTCCTCCCCCTCCCCTTCCTCCTCCTCCCTCCTCCTCCTCCTCTCTCCTCCTCCTCCTCCTCCTCCTCGCCCGCCGCCTCCTCTCCTCGTCCCCCTCCTCCACCTCCCCTCCGCGCCTCCCCCCCTTCACCTCCCTCCTCCTCCACCTCCTCCTCCACCTCCTCCACCACCTCTTCCTCGCTCACCAATGGGCTGGATCAGACGGCCTCTGGTTGTGCGAAAGCGGCCAAGTTCGTGCACGATCTGGGGCAACGATAGCCCGAACGGACGCCCAGGCCTGCCCGTGCTACTGTGAGGCTCTCTCTCCTGATGAGCGGAAAACAGAAAAGGCCACTACATTTATAACTTCGGCCGACTCGATAACGAAACTTATATCATGGTTTGCTGGACCTCCAGAGCTTACAGTGAATTGTATGCCAGAGCTTTCAAAAGTGAATGCGCTGCACTCCCCTCCAGCAACATCAAGAACTCAAGCTTAAAGTGTTTCCAAGAACGAATTGAAGAGCAGGCCCTGTTTTGCCCCCCCTGGATATGCTGATCAGAGAAGCAGTAGACCCTCAATTGGGAGCATGCAGCCGAGGCAGAGCAGTAGATAGACCCAGACGCCCCAGTCAGATGCGCTGGTCCTCCTCCTGCTCCTCCACCTCCTTCTTCTCCACCACCTCCTCCTCCGCCTCCTCCTCGTCTGCTTCTGCTTATTATTATGCGTATTCGCATTTGTGAGCTCATGAAAAAAACTCGTAGATTTAATATTATCAAAACTAGGAGTAGCCGTATAATGGTTGTTATGAGTACGGATAGTAATGTTGGCCTGTTCCTTGTATCATTAATATTAGCCTCATTTATTTTCGTAAGTGTGTTAGCAGTGATACTGGTAGCAGCGACAGCAGCAGCAAACATAGTAGTAGTACTAGTAATACGGCTATGTAAATAAGAACTATTATTCGCAGTAGTAATATGATTGGTATGATGGATATTAGTGCTGGTAGTAGTAGTAGAAGAAGAAGTAGTAGTAGTAGAAGAAGAAGAAGTAGTAGTAGTAGTATAAGTAGTAGTAGTCGTAGTAGTAGTAAGTAGTAGCAGTAATAGTAGTAGTAGTAGTTAGTAGTAGTAGTAGTAGTAGTAGTAGTAGTAGTATAGTAGTAGTAGTAGTAGTAGTCGTAAGTAGTAGTAGTAGTAGTTCGTAATAGTAATATAGTAGTAGTAGCAGTAGTAGTAGTAGTAGTAGTAGCAGTAATAGTTGTAGTAGTAGTAGTAGAAGAAGTAGTAGTAGTAGTAGTAGTAGTAGTAGTAGTCGTAGTAGTAGTGGCAGTGGTAGTAGTAGTGGTAGTAGTAGTAGTAGTAGTAGTAGTAGTAATAGTAGTAGTAGTAGTAGCAGCAGCACTAGTATTGGATGCTATACGTAGTAGTACTAGTACCACTACAGGTATGAGTATTTCAAATAGTGCTTCCATGGTGTTATCATGTTTAGTACGATTGATGATTCCAGCACATAGCCGTACCACTACTATTGCTAGCATACTTAGTACGATCCATGGCATGGTAACTACTACGGCGGCCAATACGATGTCCAGTGCCAGTAGTATTGTTAGTACTAGTATGCGTGGGAGTCTTTGCATTATGTTAGGGTTCGCCTTCTTCGTGTCAGTCGTATTACTAATCATCGTCTTCGTACTATTATTTTTACTCGTATTGGTCGTCTCCTTTGTCTTACTATCATTGTTCGCCGTAGCATTCCAAATCTCAATATTCGTCGTCGTCTTCTTCGCCGTAGTACTAGTCGCCTGCTTCGTAACATGATTATTGCTGGTAGCAGCAGTATCAGTGTTATTGGTATTAGTCGTATTCGTAGTCGTCTTCGCGTTCGTACTCACATGATTCATCAATTGATTAGTCGAGGTAATGTTATTAGTCTTCTTATGTTTAGCGGTAATCGTGTTACTATTCGTAATTATACGTTCGAAATATTAGTATTCGGGTTTGTCTTCTCAGTATTCTCACTATTATGATTACGAGTGCTTATTCTTCAAAATTGTACCAATGCTCGTAGTATTACTGTTATGCTTATTGATAGTATTCCTCTTAGCCAACCTCTAATGCATATTATTATTAGTCGTCTTCTGAATCGTATTTTGAAAACTTGGTATCATTACTAGTAATATGATTATTCGTATTATTCCTCCTCCTCCTCCTCTTCCTCCTCCACCTCCTCCCCGCCTCCTCATCCTCCACCCCCTCCTCCTCCTCCTCCTCATCCTCCGCATCACAATAGAATGATCACCGAGTGAGGCGGAATCGTTAAACTGGGCTCCGAGAGCGAAGTCGCAGTGCCGAAACGACTTGGCAGCTTGTGTGGGCAGTCTGAGGGTTGGCTCTGTCCATGAGACCTCGCCAAACTCCAGGGTCACGCCACGCAGCTTGCCGCCAGCAGCTCCCAGAGCAGGGCACCAAACCGGTGAAGGAGCAGGAGGAACCCGAGAAGGAAAAGCGCAGCAGGACGATGGAGAGAAAGGCAAGAGGACAGGGGGAAAGCCAGAGGGGAAGGGCAAACGAGGAAGAGCAAAGTGGGAAGGGTAAGGCTGATCGGAGGCGAGCGAGGGGGAGAGGTGAGAAGGAGAAGGCCTTCTCAGAAGGTTCGGAAGTCCCCCGGCCTTCTGAAAAGTTGTCTAAGCCTTCCCCGAAGACATAACAAACGTCTCAGAAGGCGCGAGGGCTTCTAAGAAGTCCCGCCGCCTTCTGAGAAGGCCTTCTCCTTCTCACTCCCCCCCCCTCGCTCGCCGCCGAGCTGAGCCAGGACTGGGACAAAGTCGGACTCGAACAGATCGAAGATCTCTGATGTCTGGCGGCTCTCGAGGCTGTATCGGGCGCTGCAGCCGTTCCAGGGCGCTCCGGAACGCTCTGAGAGCGTTCCGGGACGATTTATCCCGGTCCTTGGCCCCGCCGCCTTGAAGGGGACCGAGAGCACAGAGGAGTGTACAGTAGGGGCGTTGACCTAAGGAACCCTGAATAAGGAACGAGGCCCCTTTTTTCCATAAGTTAAACTTCGATTTCCGATCGAAAGCCGAAGGAAAACCTTGGGCAAGCTGTGAAACACTCAAGGAACACCCAGCCCCTCCCCAACGAAAAGGGTTCCTTCTTCAGGGCCCCGACTGTACTGCAAACGCTGGTCGTGCGCGCCACTGGGTGGTCAGTGACAAGAGGGCATGTCGGCCTTTGCGTAGTGGAAGCCCTCGGGACGCAGGTGGTTTCCCGTACACGTCGGTCGGAAGAGGTAGGTCAAAACATGAGGCAGGAAGGCGGATAAAGTGGATTGGGCCCAGGCCCTCCCAGAGAATAACAAAACACAGCAAACGCGTGCCGATTCTTGAAGTAGGAAGGCGCTTGAAGTAGATTGGGATCTCGGAATCCCAAAATACCGACTTGCAACGAACAACAAAATACAGCAAACGCGTGCCGATTCTTGAAGTAGGAAGGCGCTTGAAGTAGATTGGGATCTGGGAATCCCAAAATACCTACTTTCAACGAACAACAAAACACAGCAAAAGCGTCTCGATTCTTGAAGCAGGAAGGCACTTGAAGTAGATTGGGATCTGGGAACCCCAAAATACCGACTTTCAACGAACAACAAAACACAGCAAGAGCGTCTCGATTCTTGAAGTAGGAAGGCGCTTGAAGTAGATTGGGATCTGGGAATCACAAAACACCTACTTTCAACGAATAACAAAACACAGCAAAAGCGTGTCGACTCTTGAAGTAGGAAGGCGCTTGAAGTAGATGTGGATCTGGGAATCCCAAAATACCTACTTTCAACGACCAGCGTGTATTCCTCCTGGAGATGGACGTGCCCGACTTCAGCTCAGTCCGCCCGCGGGCCGGAGCCTCCCGCGGCGCTCGAAGGGCGCCCGACCCCGCGGCTCCAGCCAACCCGCGACCCCCAAGGGGAGGAGGAGGAGGAGGAGGAGGAGGAGGAGGAGGAGGAGGAGGAGAAGAGGAGGAGGAGGAGGAGGAGGGATCTGGGAATCCCAAAATACCTACTTTCAACGACCAGCGTGTATTCCTCCTGGAGATGGACGTGCCCGACTTCAGCTCAGTCCGCCCGCGGGCCGGAGCCTCCCGCGGCGCTCGAAGGGCGCCCGACCCCGCGGCTCCAGCCAACCCGCGACCCCCAAGGGGAGGAGGAGGAGGAGGAGGAGGAGGAGGAGGAGGAGGAGGAGAAGAGGAGGAGGAGGAGGAGGAGGGATCTGGGAATCCCAAAATACCTACTTTCAACGACCGGCGTGTGTCGGTTTCTGCCTTGAGGAGGCCCCCTGGCGACCAGGCGTCCTAGCAGCCGAAAGAGCACGGGCGGGCTCCTGAGGAAAGGACCCCGGAGTCCAGAAATCCTGGGAGTTCCAGGTTCCCGAGGGCTGGCAGTCGCACCGACGAAGCTTACCCAGCCCTGCTCCGCAAGGCTGGTGTGTAAAGTGGCGCCACTAACCGAAAGGGGGAACCCCAGGAGGAGAGGGAGAACGAGGAAGCGGACGAGTGGACATCAGCAGAGCCTTCCTCCTCCTCCGCCTCCTCCTCCTCCTGCCCCCTACTCATCCGCCGACATCTCCTCCTCCAGTGCACACAGATCCCCTCCTGCGATTGCGCAACACACAAATTGGAACTTTTGGGAGGGTCCAGGTCCGCCAAAAGACGTCCGCCCGCAGACCGAGAGAAAGCCAACGCCATTGAAGCTTGCCATCGCCCGTGCGTCCATGTCCCGTGCATGCGTCGGCTTCGTGCGTGCATCTTCTCGCGAGACGACCCACCAATGTTCCTCGATGGTCCTCGCTGAGAGCAGATGCACACGTCCGAGCGATGCCAGGTAAAGGGACGGGCAGGAGGGGCAGGCTGCCAGCTGCGGCGCGCGCGTGCGCGCACCTGGCTTTCGCCCCGTTTCCTCCCTCGTCCCCTCCGTCGTCCCCTCCCCCTCGTCCCCTCCCTCGTCCCCTCCCCCGTCCCCCCCCCGTCCCCCCCCTCGTCCCCCTCCTCGTCCCCCCCCTCGTCCCTTCCCTCGTCCCCCTCGTGCCCCTCCCCCTCGCCCCCTTCCCCCTCGCCCCCCCCTTCCCCTCCCGTCCGCCGCCCCTCCCTCTCAGGTCGTTCGGCTGCCAGTCCAGGCACAGGGGCTCGCCCAGGGAGCCGCCGCCGGCGTGCAGGTACGTCGTGCACGCCTCCGCCAGCGCCCCGCCTGCCGAGCGGGAGGCCAGGCGGCGCCGAGCCTCGACCCCACGCGGCGGGAAGTCGACATCCTCCCCCCTCCTCCCTCCTCCTCCTCCTCCTCCTCCTCCTCCTCCTCCTCCTCCTCTTCCTCCTCCTCCTCCTCCTCCTCCTCTTCCTCCTCCTGTCGCCCTGCCCCTCCATCTGGTGGCCGCTTCGCTCCGGCAGTTGTCCGCTCGGCTACCATACTCACCGAGGCATGGCTCGAAGGCTTCTCCATGCCAGCCCTGGCACGTCTGGGTCGGGTGGCGAAACAGATCATCGACTACGGGCGTCCCGTATACTTGGAGATCGGCAAGGCAGCTAACCTGGGTATCCTGAAGGTCCGCATCATGAAGAACTCCCCCGAAGACAGCCCTTCGCCCCCGTGCGTCTCCCAAGTCATGCTGACCCAACTGAAGTGGATCAGGAAGATGTGTTCCGCTCATCTGGCGGCCGACGAACGGCACGAGCATACGAACGGAATCTCAGAAGCGAGAATCTCCGCAAAGGATCTGGTGCTGCGTTGAAGCGGTAAGTCCATGTCTTCCTCCCGAAGCCGTTCAGGTTCAACTGCCGCCTGTTCACCACCATGATGGTCCTGGGGCAAGTCAGCAAGCACTGGTTCAAGGCCTTCGCCGCTGCGACTGTCCGCCTCGCGCCGGGGAGTCACAAGATGATGGGCCCGTTCTCCATCACCACTACCATATGTAGGACAGGGAGGAGGCGGAGGAGGAGGAGCAGGAGGAGGAGGACCTCCTCATCCTCATTTCTCCCCCGTCCTACATATGGTAGTGGTTGTGGAAAAGCTGCCCATCAACAAGAGGCAACCGTCCAAGCGAAGGGTCGTCGACATCCGCGCAGGTCGAAGCGGCAGCAGCGCGCGCGGTTGATGCTGCTCGAGCGGGCGTCGGAGCAACCTTCGGCTTCAGGCTCCTGGCGATGGCGCACCGCGGATGGATGCGATCTCCTTCCAACGGTGTGGGGTTCCCGGGTCTGCAAGTTCTGGCCACGGTAAGGGTCACCGACACTCGCGGAGGAGGCCGTGACGAAGGTGCCGATGTCTACCCGCTTGCTGTGCTTGCAGGCGTGCTCGGAGTTCGGAGGTTACTTCCTGTTGCCTCACCGCAGATCGAAGGGCAAACGCAGCGCAAGCAGCAATAGCAGTGGGCCGCTTCGGCGATCTCCCTTCTCGGTAGGACATCGGCACGCTCCGTCCCAGCCTGCTGGTGGCAGTGATATGCGAACCGCTGTGCCCATCTCAACCCACATCCCAACAGGTTGGGCGTCCTTCAGAGCGTGGCTGGCGGGAAACCCAAATGGGGGAGTACCGCAGGGTGCAGCACTCTCCTCGGGCGCGTGGCGTTATCGCGTGAGCGTTTCGAGAATTGGTCCTGGTAGGCTACGTCGTCGTCGCGGTTTGCTTCATCGTCTTTTGTTTATCAGTAAGCGTCCTGCCTTGCATCCCTCCCTCTCTCTACTTTTCTGCCGATCTTCTTGTCTCCGTCCGTCCATCCTCAATCCTCCATCATCGACTCCTCAGGCAGGGAGATCCTGGGGGGAGAGCGCCAGCCACTCACCCACCAAAATAATGGCTTGGCCCCCCAGGGAGGGGGAGGGGGAAGGAGTAAAGGACGAACGAAGAGGCAGGAAAGCGAGCGCTTGATCCTCCTCCTTCTCCCCATCGTCACTCGTCCCTCCATCCCCCCCCCCATCTGTGATGACTATCATTCCTTACCACTCCCAGGTTATGCGCTACACCATGGCAGCAGAAAATCACAGGCACAACACTTGAAGCTGAAGAACCTAACATGGTAGCTATTGTACTGCACACACGGGGAACTACACAAGAGACCATGTGGGATATCGGACGGGATGCCCCAAGGGAAACCGCACGGGCGACCACGCAGGAGACCATATGAAAGAAAAAAAACATATGGAACACCATATGGGAGACCGCACGGGAAACCAGATGGAAGACCACACGGGAAGGCACACGGGAATCCACGCGGGAGTTCACACGGGAGACCGTGCGGGAGACCATGCGGGAGACCGCGCGGGAGCCACACGGGAGGCCCCTCGGGAGACACCTGGCCTTATCCTCCTTTTCTCCTCCTCGGCGACCTCGGCAACCACGAGACGCCAGTCAATCCCTGATCAACTGGCACCATCAGTGAGAGTCGTCGCTCTGACTGCGAGCTCTTTCTCCTCCTCCCTCCGTCTCGCTCCTCCCTCCCTCCCTTCCCCCTCCTGACCCTTTGCTTAGGTCGGGCATGTCCTCCTACAGGCAGACGTTGGAGGGAAATCAACGAGTAGTCAAGAATATTCAAAATAGCAAAATGTAGTCAAACATCATCCCCAGACTATTCTGTTGATTAATTTTGAATATCCCTCCCGTACGGGGCCATGCCCGATTTAACCCTTTGCTCCTCCTTCCTCCTGCCGCTCTCCCCCCCCACCCCGCGGCTGGACCTCCAGGGCTGGATCTTCTCAAGAGGCCCACAAACACACACATGAATACATACAAATCCAAGGACTCCCAACATTTGCCCATATTTTCTAGGTTGTCGTCTTCCCCCCCACTGTACATAGTTTCCCATATGTTCCTGAGAATCGACGATTGATTGTGTCTGTGTGTTCCTTCCCCCTCCTGATGGATATCCTTCCTCCAGGGCTGGACCTGAACGCTCTTGTTCGTCTTGCTTTCGTTGTTTCTTTCGTTCTGCTCTGTTCGACTTCCTACGCCTCCCTGCCAAAAAAACGAACAACCAAAAAACGGCCGAAGCCCAGCAACACAGCGCTTCGGTCCACCCCCTCCCTCCTCCTGCCACCCTTAGAGGTCGAAAAATCCCCCCCCATAATAACCACCCCCAAAACGCGAAGTGGTTAGTAAAAGCTCCCCAAAAAAGAATCGAACAGGTCAAGGCTGTTTAGTAAACGCCCAAGGCAGTTCAGTAAACGCCAATTGTCAGCTCCGGGTGGTTTTTCCTCCCTTGACCCCCCCCCGACTGTTCTGTTGACTATTCTTGCATACTCCTCCTGTAGAGGGACATGCCCGACTTCACCCTTTTTGGAGGCCTTGGAATAGGCACCAACACCAACACAGGGGGCTGCCTCCACAGGGGGAAGATGATCCTAGATTTCGGTGTTGGTGGTAATATTTCGGACACCTTGGAAGCCAGAATATTACCACCATCACCGAGATCGGGATCTTCTTCCTTCGGTGGAGACACACCGCCGATATTGGTGTTGGTGAAAGCCTGTAGGCCTGTGACCTTTGCCTCTCCCTCCTCCTGACCCCCCCCCTGCGGGACGGGAAAATGACCACAACCACTGCTTCTTGTTTGCGCCGCCTTCCAGCTGGCCGAAAAAGAAGCAGTGGTTGTGGTCATTTCCCCGGTGCCAAGCCCAAAGAAAATTACCACAACCACTGCTTTGTTTCTGCGGGCTGGAAGGCGGCAACAAAAGAAAAGCAGTGGCTGTGGTCGTTCTCACGCCCCGTACCCCCCCCCCCCTCACGGGCAAGCCGCCCATGGCGTGCACGGCCACCGCGCCCCCCTCCGAGAGCGTCGCCAGCACGTCCCGGTGCGGGTGCCACGCGACCGCTGCCCGGCGGGCGGCCGGCCTCGGCCGCGGCGCCCCCCCCGCCGCTGCCAGCCAGATTCGGTTGTGGAGCTCCTCCTCCTCCCCCTCCCCCTCCCCCTCCCCCTCCCTCTCCCCCTCCCCCCCTCCTCCTCCTCCTCTTCCTCCTCCTCCTCCTCCTCCGTAGGCCGAGGGACGCAGGCCGTGGGAACCCGCACCGGTGACCTCAGTAGGCTTCCGGAGGCCGCGGACAGGTCACCGAGGCCGGGGACCTCCTCAAGGTCACCGAGGTCCAGCCGGGTGACGGCTACTTATGTAAATTCAATGTAACTTCTGTGCCCCCCGCCCCCTCCCACCTGCATCGAGAATTCAAGGGGGTACGCCGATCGGTCGAGTTGGTGGTTGGATGAAACACAACCCGATTCTGCCTAGGGCGCCGATTGATGTCCCTGGAGAGGCTGCCGGGGACATGATTTTCGGTGTACCGGTCCTTCCGTGCTTTTTGGTTGCGGCTTATTCGGGAGCCGAATTTCGTGACAATTTCGTTGCGTCAGGCTCCTTTGGGTTAGCCACCAACGGATGCTGAAACGCAACGCCCGGGGACCGACAGGAAACTGGTCCGTCGATGTAGTGAAAAGTTAGTCCTGGAGGTTCCGGGGGGTGTGGCGTATACACAGTCTCTGAGTTGAAACTGTGTATGCTGGTCTGTGGGCCCCCATTTGCAGGAATCCCGCCTCAGGAGTGAGAGGCATCGCGGGCGGCATCGACACTCGGAGTGGCCCCCCTCCCTCTCGCCCCTCCCCTCGGCGAGGACCGTCATTAGGCCTCGTCGGTGAGGACCGTCATTAGGCCTCACACCCCTCGCAGCTTCCATCAATGGGGTTGCGAGGGTTCCCGCTCCCACCAGTCAACCTTCCATTTTGCCGTCAATAGGCACCGGAGGGGGCCGAGGACCCCCCTACGGTCCCTCGGCCAACGAAGACGGCCGTAGGGGGGGGGACCCGCACCTCCATCTC